GGCTTCTGATAGTTCTTTGAATAACCATAACAGAATGGCGCTATGTGAATAAATTTAAACAACACAAAAAAAAAACCCCCCAACGGCAGCTCACCTTTCGCATAACTAAGCCATCAATTACCACAAACGAATTCCTCGTTTTCACCGGCTTTGCAGGACCATCGGGCAGGAATAAGTATGCACCAGGTTGATTGTCTGTTCCTTGCAAAGGCACTAAAAAACATTACGTTTCCCACTCTGACATTCAGCTCCCTTCCACTCCCCTCTCCATTCCCTCACTCTTCCTATCGGTACTTGCGTCTTCTAACAAAAATTACAATGTTCCGATGGGAATTATAGCCAGAGGACAAAAAACTCGGTTTTCATTTGCAACGACTCGTAAGTAAGACTGTAAACGGCCTCATTTTTATGCATTTTGCATCTATGCAATAAAAAAAACGCAGATTTTCCAGGGTTGTTTGTGTGTGCGTGTGTGTTCTGTTCCGATTTTTCATCTCGAGGCCTACAAAAGCTGCGCAGTTGAAACTTTGGGAACTCTATCTATATGTACTTACGGGACTCCATTCCCAGTATGGGCGCTCTTACCCATGTGGTCCCCACGCACGGGCTTGTCAAAGTTTTTGACGGGCACGCTGCTAACTTAGAAATCAGAAAAGCTAGAAAGCTGAAATTTTAAGGGAATGCCCCGTCCAGTGAGTTCAGAAAAACTCACTGGATGGGGAACATTCCCTTAAAATAGTGAGTTCAACTCAGCCCCCGGCTATGCGTAGTCCCAACGTACTGATTCGTGAAACTTTTTGTGAGTGAGTTACTAACTGGAGAACCTGAAAAGCTAGAAAGTAGGATTTTTATGGGGATTTTCCCCTTCCACGTAGGTCTCAATGAGTTCAAACCCAGCCCCTAGGTATGCATGGTTCCCATATAAGGGCCCGTGAAATTTTTTATGCGGGTAAGTATTGTCTGATTCTTATCCGAATTTGTAATAAATGTCCAAACCTTGACAATTATTACAAATTCGGATAAGAATCAGACAATACCTGAATCTAACAAGTATAAGAAAGCATATTTTCCAATTCATAAGCAATCTTTGTCCATTTTTATACTTTTTATGCATCTGTGCAATGA